CTCCGCACTCCCCCCATCATTCACTATGGTAAGATTTTTTGTTCTGATGATGCCTTACACCTGATCCCTTCGACACCTCATGGTTGCATAGGCTGCTGTGCTAACACCTGTTTCTCGTGGCCACTTTCTGTCCTTATTCTCTGGTCAAAACCTAGAAATCTCCTTTATCCAGTTCAGTTCCCTTTGCCACGCGGCCTTGGTGTTACACTGTGTAAAGAAAAACCTTCCCAGACAGACTCTAGAAGATAAAACAATAGAGGAGCCAATAGTCCAAAGGCTCTGCTTTAATAAAACCTACTGTGTTAGGCCGGGTTGACAAGAGAAACAAATCCAATGACATTCATATGTGTGTGAGAAAGAGCTTTATATCAAGAAGCAATTATAGTTCAAGAAAACACCCCAGCCCAGTCCAACTCAAGTCCATATCCCATACTAGTCCATAAGTCACTCTTCAGACTCAGAAAGCCACGTGCAATGATGCACAATGCAGGAAGCTCACATGCCAGTGGGTGGTGGATGCATCTCCATGGCTCTGGCAGCAACCAGGATCACCCAGCAGGAAGGTGAAGGCAGAGAGGGAGAGGAGGAGAGGTTCCCAGGGCCCTCCTTATGAGAAGGCCATGCCCACAAGGAGGCACCATCCGGCTGTGACCTGTTGACAGGGGGAATAGCACCCACACACTTTTGTTTATCTTCAAGTTGACATGAAATTATATAATGACTACATCTACTTTGTTGAATAGTTGCTTTACTGTATGATTTCATACTAGCATCACTTATTCTAAGTGTTTTGTTTCCTTGTGGTCAGTTAGCCATGGGCTGGTGGTGGTGGGTGGGGGGGTCCACGCAGGGATCTAACCCAAGCTTATTCTGTCACAACTGTCAAAGTATCCAAGACATGCTTGCAGCATAAGTAACAGTTTCACAAGTGAGTTGTGGTGGGAGGAGCAAATGAGACGGTAGAGGATGAGAGAATAAAAGAATACAGTGTATTAGTGCTGGAGGTAAGGAGAAGGAGAGAAGTCTTCCTCGATGTGTGAACCTTGGCAAACAGAACAAAATGAATAGAAATATTTGCTAATTCACTGAGCAAGAGGAAGCATGTTGTTCATGATGATGGGGTCAGAGAGAAGGAGTTAAACTGGAGGGGCCATTATTAAGTAAGAAGGTTTACATTCTTTTTTGGATATATAAGAAGGTGGGTCCAAAAGTAC